GATAGATAGATAGATAGATAGATAGATAGATAGATAGATAGATAGATAGATAGATAGATAGATAGATAGATAGATAGATAGACAGATAGATAGACATGTATATATGTATATGCCGTTGTTTTATCTATGGAGCTAGTAACAAAAATAATATCCCTTTGGGATTATTAAAGAATTTCTGATTCTGATTCTGACTCTGAATGGATCAACACACAGAACTACAGATGTTTATTATTTTTATTTTATTAGTTATGCTCAACCCTGATATCTGGCCCTATGTCAGTGAGATCAACCACCATCTCTTCTCACCTCCGCACTGGCAAATGGAAGCGTCCCAATCCTGCTTTAGGTGAAACCTTTGGATTAATAAAACAACAGAAGTTTTTCCTTGCCTGTGTCGCCTAGTGCTTGCTCATGGTGGGAATTGTTGGGTTTCTGTAATTAACTTCAGAGTAGGGTCTGACCTGCTCTGTTTGGAAAGCTGTGAGACAACTGTTGTTGTGATGTGGCGCTATGTAAATAAAATTGAAAATTGAATTTAATTAAACCGACTCCAGATTTCACCTGAAAGCACAAAGATTTGAGTGTTTTCTGTGAGGTGGCACAGTGACCTCTGCTGTGGGCCTCCAGACACAACAGGAGAAGCAATATCCAAGTCCGTCTGGCTGCAGGAAGCCAAGGATGGATATCCAACTCCCCCACATCCAAGTCGGCCATTTTGATTATGTCACCAATAGGAAGATCCCAGGCAAAAAAATCCTTCAATTGCTTCATGGCAATATAGACATGAATTTAAAAATAGTGAAATTAATCTTGCAAACACTGAATTAAACTCTATACATAATATTATGTTAAAATAGTGGATGTTAAATAGGTTTGTGCAATAAGTCCAAGCAAGTTTGACCACATCTGCATTGTTTAATTCTTCAACACTTAACTAGGGCTAGTTGTATTTGTATTGGTGTATATTTATGAAAATGTGTATGTGTTTATGTTTGTGAATTTAGCAGACGCTTTTATCCAAAGCGACTTCATTTAATTTTGATTTCATTCATTTATGATGTTTTTATTTACGATGTATTTATGACTTTGTATGTTTCTTAATTTTCAATGTTGTTTTAATGATGATCGTCTTTGTAAAGTGTCCTTGAGTGGCACCTCGAACAGGAGGACGGCTGGACGTAACCGAGTGTTATTGGCCAGTTAGCTCTGACATGAACAGGCCAGGTCCTAATTCATGCAGGTTTAGGTGGAATGTGATAAGAAAGTGTGAATGTTGAGCTTAAAGACGTATATCTGCTGTAACAGAGAGGAGGAGGAGGCACAGTTAGGGAGTTTAACACAAAAGTATCATTATAAAGGGAATAATATAAATCCAAAAAGGAATAAGACAATCAGACATTTACATGGATTCAGTTATGACATACTGTGCTAAAGTGAGTAATTATAGCCCAATGCTAACAAAGTTATGACCGTGCAATGTGCAAACATTATTGTGATATCAGGCATATCTGGTTGTGTAAAACAGTGTTTTGAGCAAAGGTTTTACCATTAAATTATGTCAAATGTAAATATTCAGAAACCCTGTGTGTCAAATCTGATACGTGTGACGTTTGATTGAATTTATTCATTGATTTGATTGTCTGATAGAATACTTTATTGATCTCACATGGAGAAATTATGATACAAGAAAGTTCAGTTTAAAAAAGACAGCCAACTAATGCATTTTGGGAATAGAATGTTAGCTTGATTCTTTAGTTGGAAGCCTGAGAATAAACCAGGGTAGATCAAGAGTACAAATATCATGCATGTGATAAAAAAAAGTGTGTGAATGTTGACCTATAAGACGAGTATCTGTAACAGAGAGAATATTATCATATTATGCCCTTTTAATTCTAAAGGGAAAAATATTAAACTAAAAAGAATAAGACAATCAGTCATTTACATGGATTAAGTTATAACATACTGTGCTAAAGTGAGTAATTATAGTCCGATTCTAACCAGAATAATGTGTGTAACGTGAGGCACGCGCAGATGGAGGCGCCTTTGATCTCAGCAGTGACTTCATCCGAGCGCGCGACCGCATCAAATCCTGCCTAATCGCTTCCGGTCTGAGGCTCCGCGCGGCATCATGCGCGGGTCTGTGGCCGCTGACAGATACCAGACCAGATCCAGATCCAGATCCAGGTCCAGATCCCGGTCCAGGTCCCGGTCCAGGTCCCAGACCGCGTCCAGATCCCAAACCGCGTCCAGATCCCAAACCGCGTCCAGATCCCGGCCCAGGTCCTAGTCGGCATCCAGATCCCGGACCCCGTCGAGATCCCGTTCCAGATCCCGGTCTAGGTCCTAGACCGCTTCCAGATCCCGGTACCAATTCCAGCCCGCGTGCAGATCCTGGTCCAGATCCCGGTTCAGGTCCTAGACCGCGTCCAGATCCCGATCCAGTCCAGATCCCGGTCTGCGTCCAGATCCCGGTCCAGATCCCAGACCGCGTCCAGATCCCAGACCACGTCCAGATTCCGGTCCGCGTCCAGATCCCGGTCCAGATCCCGGTCCAGATCCCGGTCCCGGTCCAGATCCCATCCCGCGTCCCGCCTCGCGCAGCATCCCGCGTGAGGCTGTTTCCAGGGTACCGGAGACTGCCCTAACCCTAACCCTAACCCTAACCCTAACCCTAACCCTAACCCCACCGGCATGGATTTGCGGGCCGTGATCGCGCATCTGGAGGCCGGGGAGCAGGAGGCCGCGCTGGGGGCTCTGCGGGGCTTCAACGGAGAGGTGAGGGGTTCAGGGTTTTAGGGTTTTATTATTTTAAGTTTTGGTTGATTCACTTAGAAAGCTTGTTCTTTGTTACCTCATTTTTTAGCCCCACTTGTTTGGAGTTATTGTACAAACCTATTTAACCCTATAATGCCAAATGTGTCATATCAATGGAAGGTAGATTCGGTTAAAGGCCAGATGACTGTACCTATAAACCTTTTTTTTAAATCTAATAGTGCAGTGAGGGCCATTAACTATGCAAAATGTGGTCTTGAGAAGAAAAATAATTGAAGGACTTAAACCCTATAATGCCAAATGTATCATATCTGATCCAGTTTCTGAAGTCTTTTGGATCTGCACATTTACTAAAAGATAACAATGTGTTCCAAATGGATATAAAAGTGCATCACTGGGTCTGAAAGATCTTTTCTTTTCATTACATGTGATGCCAGTAAAATGTGCGTACATATTTAACAAAAAGGAGACAAGGAAAGGACAATAAATTAGATGTGAAGCACTGTGATCCATCTCCAATTTTACAGATATGCAAATATTTATCTAATCAAATCAGACGATTCATTTAGACTTATGCTGGTATTGCCAAATGTGTTTTATTCATACGGTTTCTGAAGTCTTTTGGATGTGAGACTTTTTGCATCATTCAGTGGTAAAAGCTTTGCTCAAACCCCTGTTGTACACATTCAGATATACCTGATAACAACCAGTAGAAGACTACACCAACATATATTTTTGACTTATTGTACGCTAATTTGATCAAAATATTTTCTGTTTTTTTTCTTCATATGTTGTTGAGGGGCCAAAGAAAGACTTCAGACTAAAAAAAATCCAACATTCTTCCTATTTTTCTTGGATCAGGCTTTAAAGGGTTAACATCCACTATTTTAACATAATATTATGTATCGAGTTTAATTCAGCGGTTGCAAGATTCATTTCACTATTTTTAAATTAATTTCTATATCACCATGAAGCAATTAGGATTTTCGTGCCTGGGATCTTCCTATTGGGTTCGTTATTGTTGGATGGAAACAGCTGAGCTGTTT